GCATTTTTTTCGCTTTACACTTACTTCTAAAAATTTTCTTCTCTGCCTATCCTATTTCCCCACCCCCCTAAAACTTTATAAACACCGTTTTTGCAGGAGAAAATGCTGGGAGTAGGGGTATTATATTACCACCGCTTTTTTGGACAAAATGCTGGTAATAGGGTATATGAGTGGGGCTACATAAGCTACTTTTGCCAAAAAAATCTTTCTACAATAACCTACCACTTTCAGAAACACGTCCGTTGACGGGTGGCTGATGATTATCAGGGGTCATCACATATTTTCCAAGCTATGAATGGGCATGTGTTATCAGTCTTCTGCATTCTCTAAAAATTCTGAAATAAGTTTTTGTAAATAATGGAAGAACATATACTTATCTATATTGTTTTGCGTTTCTGCGTGTATTCATGTAATTTTTAGTACTGTTCGAAGATAACAATACACAATTGATTGGCCGAATATATACTGGGAATAGGCAAAAGATTCTAATTATCTGCCCGTTTATTTTCTAGTTTTCGCATTAGAAGAAAATATTTCATACTATAAGTATCTTCCAACATACCCCGAATGTAATATAGCCTTTTGTAGGCATCCATCTACGCAGTTGTTATGCATATTTTTTACCTCAAACTAGTCTACTTCTTCAATTTCTTTCAAAAAAACGCTAGAAGTTTCAAAAGCAATTGCAAACATGGGATCCCTTGTTTGTTTATGTAAGAGAATGTGATTCGTTATCTTTATTTTTTGTATGGTTCTTCCTGACTTATGAATAGAGTTTACTTTCCCCTAAGGAAATAATTTGAAATGTTTCATTCTTCCATCTGTGTTCAATGTCCAGAGCAAAAGGTCTTGTTCTGTGATATTAAATAGCAGAAAAATTCTCTTGGCTATACCACCGTATTTTCACAATCAATTGGTCCTTCAGGCTCTAAAAGCCGCTTGTAAGAAGCAACTTGCAATTGGAGTAATACCCCTTCCTAAATACGGGACTGTAGCCGACATGTTAGGTCGGCAAATGTTATTCACTTAAAAAATTGTAGATTTACATTTGAGCGCAAACGATTCAATATTAATTTGAAACTTCTTACGCAATATGACACTTGCCGGTATAACTGGTAAAACTAGTAAATTTGATTTCTGAGCAGTTTGCCTCATTTCATATCATTCTCATTATCTCCTCCAATAATTTCGCAAGAGTAATCGAAGGCCACATTTCTGTTTTTCCGGCAATACTATCTGCCTATCCTTATTTAGTTAAAAGTTTTTTAACTGCTCACCGACTAGACTAGACGAAACTTAGCGCACTTTTCACCGTGAAGGTAGTGTGACCTTAGCGAATTTCATAGAAGGCAGACAAGAAATACTAACAAATAACTAGCATTAACGTTACCCCAGGCAAGAGCAGTTTATCATTAAAGCCTGTGCGTAAAACACTGCATACAAGCTTCCATCTTCTTACTGGCTTTACGACCTTTCGAGCCACTGTTTAACACTTGCAATGAGTGTGATAATTTTATATGTTTGACTGTGGTCACCAGTTAACAAATTGAAGTCAGCTGTTGCGCATTCAAAACGCAAACAATAGGCCTGATCTGAATTTTGATCGGTCATCCTAAGAGACTCACGCAAGCAGACGCATCAGTTAATTTTTATTCCAGCGCTATTATATGTGTAGAAGTTTGAAATTATATCTCAGCCCTCCCATTATTTATATATTGCGCACATAAACAAAAAAAGTAAAATGAAGCAATGCTCTAACAAAACGTTTCCGAAAATTATGAACTTCGACTTCAATTGCAGTAAATTACTCACGCGGAACTGCTGAATAAAATATTTTCTCAGACAATATTTTCTGGACAATTCTGGTGGCCTAAAAACTAAAGTATTCAGAAAAGCGACAAACACGATGCAGATACTGAATTACAACAGCAACCACCCAATCAGCCACAAACGCAGTTGCGTAAGGACGCTCTATCGGCGTGTTGAGACGCACCGCAGTGAACCAGAAGATAAAGTTGCCGAGGTACAATACCTTTGACGGGTAATCGGAAAAAATGTCTACCCGCGCAACTTTGTCAACTGCTGCTTGCGCAAACGAGATGGCCAACAAAGTCACACGGACCCCAGAATTTGGCGAGCGATTCCATACGTTAAGAACGTCTTGGTGGCTGTCGGCGGCCTCCTCGCACCACTTGGAGTGGCGGTCGCACACAGGCCGGAGGCAGCCATAAGGCGT